TTGAAAAATGTCAAAGTTTCAAAATATATTAATAATTAATATTAATTTATGATTTCTGTAAGATTATCTAAGGAAATTTTAAATAAATAACCACAAGAATTCAAATAGGTGGTTTTCTTTACATATAATTATATATATCACTGCTTTGCATCAACAAAGCTGAAGAAAAAAAGTTTAATAATTATTTAATGTAGTGCCATGTAATTTTTTTTTGTTAGCAAAAATAAATCAGTCTTGACAAAACATGTACTAAAAATCTGACCAATGTGTCTTGCATCACATCTTCATTCAACATGCATATCTTTTGGGAGCTCCGCTATTAGGTTTTACCTAATTTTTATATTACGCTTCTAACCTTCATTACCCCTTAGTTTTATATGACTTAACATCAACCTCGTTCCTGGGTTAAGCATATGGCGTCATATGTTTCGCGTTTGTGGAAAAGTGCCAATCGATGTTATCTCGGCTCAGATACTGAATGGCGGACAAGAAAAAGCCAACTTTCAAAGCTCGATGATTTTCATGATGTATCGATAAAAACAGAAGTATATAACCCGAAGAGTCCATCTCGTTAATAATATCGACATCATCAGATATCCCGATAATCTATTTTAGACAACCAATCGCACATAAAACACTGCACCTGATTGGTCCTTGTTGACACTACTTCAAGAGCGGACAAGAAAAAGGAAAATAGCCAGTCGAGGACTGCATGTGACTAAGGCATAGAGACTTAATATGAACATAGAGATCTAGAATAGGACATAAGACAGAGTGTAATTTCAACTTCCCCTCTACTAACTCTGGACAGTTATTGTTGTTATGTACAGTAGGTGTTTCACGCTTTTATGCAATGATGTTTAGAGTGAATATACTAAATTCGCCCAACAAATATTATTAAGTTATAACTAAATAGTTTTGATAAAAATGAATAGAGTACATGAACACTAAAAGTGCGAAACACTTTGCACTATTTACTACAAACTGATAGTGCTAAGTAAACAATAGAAAACAAAAGAATTAGCATAATTTTGCAGTATTTTACTCTGGTATTTATGTTTGCACAGTTTTAGTGTTTTGTACTCTAAAGAATCAACATAATTTATCATCGATTTTGCACTTTATTGTTTCACAGATCAAAGTGAGGTCACTCTATTATGGCTATATTTCAATGTATGATCAGTGAAATTCAAAATGACACTAGTACAAGTATCTTTATTAGAGTCATTTTCATCCGGCTGTGGAACAATTTTTACGTCTACCGAAGGAGATATTGAGCCCCATGTCTGGTTTTTAAACACGCCATGCGACCAGCACTGGTCTTATGTAATAAAACAAGCGAAGCAATCGGACTTTTGTTTGCAAACAAACCACATAAACCGCCCCAAAAACTGAAATATTCTTTAGAAATACAAATTTGACTGCAAGATGCATAGAAATGTGTGCCTAGTTCTAGACAAAATATAGTTCGAATACATTGCATTGCGATAAAATATAAAAAACTATCACCTTCGAAAGCACAAACACGTCGCTAGAACGCACATGGTCATACCAAATCGATTTTTCCTCGCAAATTTCAGTCGTCAGGATTTCGTAGACCATTTCGTACAGGCTCGTATTCCGAAAGTACTTCGATTTGGTTAGAGATACACGAAATTACTTCGATTTGGGTACAGATACTGAACTCACTCACTCATACTTGATGACATAGTGACGAGAGGCCTTCCCAGAAGACCTTTCGTCACAAAAGTGTAGTCGATGGAGGCGAAAGAAGTGAAGCTTGCATTACGAGAATTCTAAACCTTTTGCGGAACAACCATTTCCGAATTTGATAGAAAACATTCTTTACTATATGAGCAATGTAGCGAAGGTAGTTCAACAGCAATATGGTCTGCGAACATGGTCAGGGGAAAATTTAGACAAAGATGAAGAAAAATGTAGACAAAAAGCATGCGAAGAAATGTATGCAATAAAATGCAAAAATGTGATTTTTGTGGCGAGAATTGTACTCGTTTTGAGACGAAATCTGTTACAATAGAATTTAAAAAACCCTATCCTATACATAGAATTGTAGTTAAGGTATTTTAGGATCTAAATAGCTTTACAAAAAGGTGAAACTAAGACAAAACGATGCCCGAATAAGACGAGTGCGAAAAATGTCACAAAAAGTCAATCAAAAACTCTTTTAGCAAAATGTTTATATTATATTCTGAACTCTACATTGTGTAAGGAGTACGTTGAAAAATGATCGTTCTTTGAAAGAATAAACAAACTAGCGAAGAGGTACAAAAGGTAAAAACGAAATCATGTCGAATTTTTCAGTTTATAAATGAAGTTATGACTTGACTTTCAAAAACCCGCCTACCGGAATATTTACAGCTTTTCCATCTCAGGTTAACAGTCGAAAATTACTCAACAATTGTCTTTTTTTTAAAGTTCAACTCTATTTGATTGTAAGGAAGCTACTTTAGACTACTTTTCTTCGCAACTTTTCCCCTGTTTTCACTGACCATATTGTTCTTGAACTACCTTCGCTACATTGCTCATATAGCAAAGTATGTTGTCTATCAAATTCAGAAATGGTTGTTCCGCAAAACGTCTAAAATTCTCGAAATACAAGCTTCACTTTGTTCGCCTCCATCGACTAATTTTTTTTTTCTTGTCTTGAAGTATAGATCAAGAAGGACCAATCAGGTGCCGTGTTATATGTGCGCGCGAAGCGTATTATGATTGCTTGTCTAAAAATAGATTATTGGGACATCTGATGGTGTCGATATTATTAGCGAGATGGACACTTCTGGTTATGTATTTCTGATCGAAAAAATCCTCACAAATACTTATTTGGATCTCCATAAACAGGTACATGTACAAAAACAGCTCAAATTCGATGTTCGGTTATCATCGTACCCGCAATTTATAGAGACAGCAGAAACTTTCCTCAGATCATGCCTTTCATCCAGTATATAATTTCAAAACTAAAGATATAGAAAGTGTTTCAGGGAATTTAATGGTACCCAGTACTTATACATGAAACTGGTTACCATCCATCCGTGAAGGGTGTCAAGTAATACAGCAAGGATCGAAACTGATTGCTCCCAATGTACAACCTCCATTTTTAGGTGAGGTTTCGTTTTATTGTTTGGAAGACTTATGTATTTTCCGTCCATTGTTTTCTCAATCTATTTTGGTGTCAACTGAAAGCTTGCGATTGAGATGGGGAGACCGAAATGGAGCGTGTGAAGATTGAATACAACTCTAATATCTATACGGTTGCAGGGATATACTAGATCCTGAATATCTCACTGTGAAATTAGATTGTTGTTCAATCACGGGATATAACAATAATCCAATAATAATCTGTACCTTGATACCAACAAAATATTGGCTGCTTTGCTTTGTAATGGCGGTCCATTTGTTGTCAACATTTGTGTTATATCTCATGCGCAGCTTACAGTGAATCTGTTGAGGAAATAAAAAACAGCTAACTTGCATTCCATGTACACCTATTTCAAAAAGCGTTGTCGATGATAGTAGATACCGAAAGGTACTATTGTTAATCACGCTATTGAACATATAAAATTCCCTTGTGGTTTCACTTTGCGTGAAAATGAAGACTAAATGGACCCGATGTTTACCACAGAATATAATATAAAAAGTATAAATCAGCTATTATTCCCTATCAATTGGCAAACTAAAATAGGTGTATGCAAATGATCAGATCAGATGACACATACTGTTGTTTAAATGACAAATGTTAGTTTCACTTAATCTCTTTAAGACTCAAAATTGATGGGTTTGAAGTTGAAAAAAACCAAAACCAAAACAAAAAAACCGCCATTGTGCGTAAATAGAAGTAGATAAGTTGCCTTGTTGACATTCAGCTTTTGCTGTCGAAATAAAAGATTTCAACACTAGACTTCCAAAGGAAGCTGATGCTGGCTTCTTTGTTTCAATAATGGTTAGTTGTTTAAACTTGCTTGTGTTCTTTATGTTTTGAGTTTTTGTCTTTCATTTTTAGCAGACACTTTATATTGATCCAAATTGCTACTCTATTTGTGATACCCATAGTAAAGTTCGGTTGGGTATTCGGAGTTCTCGTCGACCACGTTGTTTAGTATACCAGGGAGTAACTTCTTACCCTATGTCCTGGTTTGAAGTACGGCAGTTGGTCGGGATGGAGTGCAGGCAATTCACTGTGCCTATTCGAGCAATCAGGATCACTTTTATCACTGCAAATAGTGTCATTTTTGACTGAGTAGCCATCAGTAAACCATTCAATGCCAAATGACACGTTTTTCCAGTTGGGAAAACTGAATTTACAGAGCATCGTCAAGGGA